ACACCACAATCGGCGGACAGAGAATTCCTAAGGATACGGTAATTCAAATTGTGCCCGCACTGATTAACTACGATAAATCCCTTTGGGGTCCTGATGCGGACCAGTTCAATCCCGACCGGTGGCTGGGCCCCGGCAAAGCCAACACCGGCGGTGCCACCTCCAACTACGCCTTTCTGACCTTCATACATGGCCCGCGCAGCTGCATTGGGCAGGGCTTTGCCAAAGCCGAGCTGGCTTGTTTGCTGGCCACATTTGTAGGGAGATTTCAGTTCGAACTCGAGGATCCCAATAAAGAGCTCATACTCCGTGAAGCCGCAACAGTGAGCCCGAAGGACGGGGTTCTGGTGAAATTAACACCATTAGAGGGTTGGTAAAAATCATAATGATGCTATGATACCTGCGGCTGTACATTTTTCGGTTTCGTTGTATTTTTTGTTCTTCGTTTCTTACAAAACCTGTGTTGTCACCGCAATTCTTCAATATCACTAGAGCTATCGACTAATTCCAATACTACTAGCTATGATCAAGCACTAGCCTTCTTAAATTTCTCACCAAGATACTCAGCCAATACCAGAATCTTCTCCTCCTGAAGCCGTCTTCCAAAGAGCTGAATCCCAGCCGGCGCCCCATCAAACACATCCGCATCGTCTAGATAGCAACATCCAGTCAGCACATAGCCCCAACCTCATCGACAGCAAACAGTTTCAAGAAAAAAAGAAACGGAAAGAGAAGAAAGAACTTACACTCCCCCTCCGTCTTCCTATCCAACTCCCCAAAATACTCCCTCCCCTCCGTCCCCAAAACATCCACCCCCCGATCAGCATATGTAACCGGCACAACTGCACTCGTATAATCCAACACATTAATAAACGCCGTATACCCAATCGTGGCATACTTCCCCGGAATGCACGCCGCATGCGGCGCCACCGGACAAATGACCGCGTCGACGGGCCGGCCAGTCCCCGTCACTTGTGCCGTGCTGTTCCAGTAGTCGAGGTATTGTTTCTGGTATTCGCGCTTCTCGACGTTTAAGGCGGCGATCTCGAGTGCGGTCTTTTGCGGGGATCCCGAGGCGTCGATAACTACGGAGGTGTGGATTGTTTCGTTGGAGAGAGCGAAGTTTTGGAGTACGTCGGCGCCGCCGTCCAGGTTGTAGGCGCGGTTCTTGGGATGGTTAGTTGGTTTGTTGTAAGGGGGTGCGGTGGTTGTGAAGGATTGATTGGGGGATGAGAGAGGGGGCTTACTGCGATGGAGGCGGCTGTTTGGTGAGAGGGGGGTTGCCAGTTGATGAGCTGGGATGAGTATTAGCAGTGGTGCAACTAAGAGGGAGGAGGAGGAGGAGGAGGAGGAGGATGAGGATGAGGAGGAGGAGGAGGAGGAGGAGGAGGAGGAGGAGGAGAAGCAGGGCACTCACCTTGTGTCCTAGACTCTTGATAGTCTCTGCAGCGATGCGCATCGCCCTTTCAACTGGCGGCTGCGGCTTTACCAGCCCATCATCGTAGAATATCCCAAAGGCTAGTCCCTCTGGCTGTCCCTGAACCAACTTCCTCGTCTCTTCTACGATATCCTCCCTCCAGGGGATCTCCAACACACCGGGGTCTCCTAGCCACGGCTTCGCCCCCAATACCGTCTTGAACAACAGAACCAACCCTCTCGCCGACGGAGACAACGGCCCTACAACGGACAACACCGTATTCTGTCCATCTCCAGAATTAGCTGCCCCCTCATACGGCATTCTCCCCACAGACGGCCGTATTCCGTATAGTCCATTGAAGGACGCAGGGACACGAATACTCCCCCCGATGTCCGTACCAAATCCTGCCGGCGATCCCCGCAAAGCAATCAACGCTCCTTCACCTCCTGAACTACCTCCGGAACTCAGAAGTCTGTTCTTGGGGTTATGCGTGTAGGTTATAATATTGTTCATAGTTTCGCCTGACATCAACGTCATGGGGACGCTAGTCTTGCAATAAAGAACTGCCCCGGCAGCGCGGAGCTCTTTGACGAGTTCGCTTTCATGCGTACGATAGCGCGGATCATTCGTCTTGCCTTGAAAGGTGTTGATCCATCCAACGTAGCCCATCGTTGTTTCCACGCCCTTGACATGGAATTGATCCTTCAAGCTGACGGGCAGGCCGTGAAGGGGACCGAGTGGTTTTCCAGTTTTGGTATAGTGATCGTCTAGAACGCGGGCGGTTTCGAGCGCAGCGTCGAAGAAGATTTCGTGTAGGCAGTTTACCTATTTCCTTGTTTAGTCGAGAGAAGAGAATACTAGCACTCCTTGTGGATGGGGAATATACAAGTTGATGCGCCAACGCTGCACGATGGCAGAACGCCTCGGTCACCTCTACAGCCGTCCACTGGCCCGTCGTGGTGCGCTCTGTGATCCCTACGGCATCTGTTTCGGTGATTTCAATCTCGCGCGGGGATAGGAATTGCTGGATGTAGGGGCCTGTTACGTTGCGCTGCTCCGTCGGAGTGGGGATGGGGCCCTTGATGCGCCATTTGTCGGGGATGGCGGCGAGGACGGATTGCCGTTTCGTTGCTGCGGTTTGTTCCCAGGGTGTGAGGGCCATTTTAGAATCGTAGTGGTAGTTGTTCTTGTTGTTGGGAGGAGTGTGTGTTGAGGAGTTGGACGGTGATGGAAGAGGGGTAGACGATGGGATCTTATCAATGCGTTTGGTGGGATGATCATCCCGTTGTCTTACCCATCTTTTCTATTCGTCAATCATATGAAGGCGGGGGATTGCAGGAAGTGGAACCAATGGCGCGGAGTATATCTTGCTTATCGTCCTGCCTTGGGGGAGTTCGCTTGTTTGAGGCCCGGAGACAGATAGTGCTCGGACTTATTCAATCTATCAATTAGATAGGAGGGAGATACGGAGCGGCCACATTTGGAGATTCTGCATTGGTTGGGAGAGATAGAGATGGGCTTCTTGAATGAATGCCGGCAGATGGATGGATGGATGGATGGAATGCCAAGCTGACAGCCACTTGCTACCCCGCTATATTGTAAGATGCTGCTATTCCGCATTTCGGGTATTTCAGAATGTATAATTCTGGGCATGAATATATACGGCCTTCTATATGCTACATCGAACTATAAATACCGAAGCCAGCCTGCTGGACCAAGGTTCTATCTCACCAGCTATACCACCCTGCCCGACAGCAGGATTCCCAACTCTTAACCCACGTGTCTTGGGTAAAAGCTCCTATTTCAAGAGAGCATTGGCGTACTTCCCACACTCAATATCCATGAGTATTGGAGAAGATAAACCTCGAAAGAATAGATGCACTAGTTCCTTGCTCCTGCGGTATAGAATAGTGCCGTCCACCCCTCCATTGGCGTTGAAGAACTGCGCAGCTTGATAAGCTGCCAATGGTCGCTCGTCGCATATATTCAAAGCTATGCTCCGCCTGGTCGAGCCCATCATGGTTGCGCTTTGTAAGACCTTGCCCCAAATTCAATCGTGAGGTTTCGCAGATTCCATTTGTCGAACGTTGAGGTTAACTCTCTTGCCCGACATCCAGCCTCTCCAAGCATCATACTGGGTAGCTGCACCATCATGCGGGCTTGATGGCCAATTAGCAAGCCACTCAGGACACGTGTTCGGCACAATCTTCGGTACTGCATGCCAGGCAAAACGTGAGGTGCCATCCATGTACACCGCATCCCCGGAGCGAAGGCGAATAATCTCACAATTTTCGCCGTCGTCATGACTGATTAAGAAGAGGCCATCGCAACCAAAGCTGACACTAATCAAGCCTACATCACAATCCTCACTGACGTCGCGATGGGGACTGAGGTGGTCGCCAGCAGAGTAGACATTGAGAATAGCTGCCTGAGCTTCAGTGGCTGGGAACATGGCATGCAAGAGCTTTGCAATATCCCTGGGGAATTCGGGAGGACGCTCCGACGGATACACCTTGGCGGTCCAGTCATATTGGCCACCTAGAGTAACCCAGCGTAGCTTTCTGTTCAGTATGCTCTGGACAGTAAGTGGTTTGTGCATATTTGGGTCTTTAGGCTCTATGGCACGGGCTGGATCATCTCCAAAGAAAGACGGAGGATGAGCGCCTACTGGACTAATATCGGCCGAGACCGCTTCAACCTCGTTCACCGCACTAGGATAGGTGATATCATAGTGCAGATGAAGGTTGGTTTGATGCCGGGGGTTAGACAAATCCCGGTGGAACAGACGAGATAACAACTCGACCTGAACTGCGGGTGGAAGCAACGAGGGAATAATTTGCAGACCTACAGCATGTCAACAGTGGCTTTCTACAATGGAGTGCCATGGGGCAATAATGCTAACCGGAAATAGCACGATGGCTGAAAACAGGGACATCCCTAGCAGGCCGAGCACCCTGCAGATCCTGGTTCGTGCCGAGGAATTGGTCAAATACAGGCTCAAAATCTGCGCTGGAAATCCATTGCGTTAAGGAGATTTCCTCTGGGAGATTTTGAGGGTCCAAGGACTGCAGATCGATGATACTGTCATCAGACTCTATCTCCGTAAGCGTGGACTTCTGGTATTGCTTATAACGCTGCTTGATGCCCTCTGGGGGACGCTCATGGGCGTTCAAATCCTTGATATGCGGCATTAGGATAAACTATGCAGCTGACAACTCATAAATCAATGGACAGCCGCAGTAGTAGTGTTAGTCCACGTAGTCTTGTCCAGACTATTGCATATCTACGTGAAAGCCCAGAGACTCCGCCTTCCTGTAGGTGAATGAACCGATCTGGATAACTTTGATCGTGAGGAAAGAATGAAAGTTTGCCATCCGGCGGGCTCGTTCCAAACTTCCAACTTGAAGCGGGAAAAAAAAAGCCACTGGCGGCAACCAACGAAAAAAGGGTCAGCTGTCCACGCGCTCACCGCCTTGGGACGCGCGGGTTTGTTTGTGTACGGCCGTTGCTGACCGCCTTGGGCTCCCCACCAGCAGGGATGAAAAGACTCCAAGTTGAACTGCTTCAAATCTCATAGCCCATTCCAGGTAAGTTCAAGGTAAGTCACGCTCGGGACGAGGCTGGTTTCGCTCTTTGGACCCTTGAGTCTGCTTCTTATTTGGGAACTGACTCCTGCCTCGCTTGCTGTCAACTCCATTGTGCCCCCAAACTCCTCGCATTCTGCTTGACGCTTTCTGTTCTTCCCCGGCAACCCACCGCCGTCGTCGTGCAGCCTCCTTTGTTTCCTGTACCCCGCGTGCTGGTAGACAGGACAACACGCTGTGTACGCTCAGTTCAATTATCGGATATATCAGATGAAAGTGATTGTGTGAGGAAGCAAGGAAATCAGCGACATATTTCATCATGGAGAACTACCAGAAGATCGAGAAGATTGGAGAAGGTACGTCCACCTCAAGGCCGATAACAATTGTACTTTCTCTTGATCCGACTCTTATCCGATCGCCCTCTCTCTATTTGAATCCGAGACTGACTCGAATTTGCTTGTTGTAGGAACCTATGGCGTTGTCTACAAGGCTCGCGAGCTCACCCATCCCAATCGGATTGTCGCCCTCAAGAAGATTCGACTAGAGGCGGAGGATGAAGGCGTTCCTAGCACAGCCATCCGTGAAATTTCCCTACTCAAGGAGATGAGCGATCCCAACATTGTGCGACTCCTGAACATTGTGCATGCCGATGGCCACAAGCTATATCTCGTCTTCGAATTCCTCGATCTCGACCTCAAGAAGTATATGGAGGCTCTTCCTGTCAGCGAAGGTGGCCGAGGCAAAGCTCTTCCGGAAGGCTCTGCTTTGAGCAAGAACATGGGTCTTGGCGATGCCATGGTCAAGAAATTCATGGCTCAGCTAGTGGAGGGTATTCGTTATTGCCACAGCCACCGTATTCTACACCGTGATCTCAAGCCCCAGAACCTCCTGATTGACCGTGATGGCAATCTTAAGCTGGCGGACTTTGGATTGGCTAGAGCTTTTGGTGTTCCCCTGAGAACCTATACCCATGAGGTATTTTTACAACGTATCAGACCTATCTCATTGTAACGTGTTATTGACCTTCCTCAGGTTGTCACCCTTTGGTACCGCTCCCCTGAGATTCTCTTGGGTGGTCGTCAGTACTCGACCGGCGTAGACATGTGGTCCTGTGGTGCCATTTTCGCGGAGATGTGCACTCGCAAGCCTTTGTTCCCTGGTGATTCGGAGATCGACGAGATCTTTAAGATCTTCCGGTATGCTTCCCTTCTTTCCCGTGCGAACAGCCCAACATCTAACCTCCCTGGATCACAGTCTCCTCGGTACCCCAGATGAAGCCATCTGGCCCGGCGTCACCTCTTTCCCCGACTTCAAACCCACTTTCCCTAAGTGGAAACGTGATGAAACCCGTGCACTCGTTCCTGACCTTGAAGAGGATGGTCTGGACCTCCTCGATGCTCTTCTCGAGTATGATCCTGCACGACGAATTTCTGCCAAGCAGGCCTGCATGCATCCCTACTTCCGGAACGGCAGTGCCTACTACTCAGGACGTACCCGGAGGAATGGTTTCAACTAGCCGGTCTACCTTGCGCATCATCCATTAGTGTTGGTGTACGTATCATGTGCACAGATGCGGCAGATGCAATGGACGTTATTCAGGTCCGACCAGGTTTTTTCTACAGGCTCAGTGCCTGCACTTCTCCCAGTATCTCTATTTTTATATCTTTTGTGATGCCCTAGGTTTTCCTTCTGTTTGTATGTGTTCTTTTATTCATGGCGTTGCTTGCGGAGTGGTCTGGAAGGGACGAGATCAGGATACTGGATATTACAAGGAGTGTTTTTGAGTTATGCGTACATACCCATAAATGAGTAACTGCCAAAAGAAAAATAGCATTCTTTTAATAGCAATATTACGGGTGTGACATCGATCAACTCCCGAAATCTGAGGAACAGTCTTGCGGCTCGTATTTTCTCTTCCCCTGGTCCTGGCCCCATGACATCCACGTGGTGTACCAAGACTCGGTCCTATCCGGCCACGGCACGGATTTCTATTTCCTTGACACCTTGCAACGAGCTCAGCAGCCTCGAAGTTTACCTTTTCTTCCTCAATCGCCAAGGTGGAGATGCCTCTCCAACCCAATGAGCTAAGAGAGCCAGCCGAACCGATGATCCCGTGTCCGAGCGCGTACTTTACGCTGGAGGGACCCCTCGTATTTTGCATGCAAGCGCTTTACTCTTCTATTAATAATAACCACTAATAGCGACAATCTAGCTGAATGTGAGTTGACGCCAGTGTATCTGACTCTTTTGGCCCGTAAGCACGGCATCTATCACATCTGTGACTTCTCAGTAACAGGGTTTCAAACATAAGATGCTTACAAGCTGAGTCCCAGCCCATGTACCCTTACCCACACCTCCGTCCGCCAACACGAACGGCTGTAGTCTGTTTCACCATGAAAAGCGTGCATAAACGTGCATGCGACTTCGCTGATCCCTCAGCTGCCAGCTGATCACATATGACTATATCGCGCAAGGCTAGCTACCCCCCGGCGGCGGCAAAAGCAGTGAGAATCAAGTATGCTTATTGGCTAACGTTATTGGCGGTGCTTCAGGGGCGCTTTGATGCTTACCAGGGTCAAGCAGGTTAACTATGATTTGCTCAGCCTCGGATAGGGACACGAGGGGTCCTCGAGGACTCCTGACTATTAAGGCGGGGCGTGTGCGCTGAAAATGCAAGCATGAGTTGAAGCATCGGTGATCATCATCTTCGTGTTCATATTTTCGCCTCGGCTTATTTTTCTACCACAAAAGAGCGTATATATTTCTCGACGCTCATATAATAATTAACTATAATCATGGACTGCGACGACCATCAAGACTTGGTCTATACCCCTCCTCCTTCCTCACGATCAGAGAGTCGCATGCGCAAAAGGCCAACCCAGCCACCACAGGAGACAATGCAGCAGTTCTGGAATGGCTTCAACTCCAAATTTCCAGGATTGGTCCATACAGTTCTGCCAAACAATCCGTATGCGCGCAACAAAGCTGCCAGGACGCCCTCGGGTGTAGTCCAGGGACAACATGCCTCAAAGTCGTATGAACAGGCTCGAGCGGAGTGTCAGCGCGCTGTGGAGCGTATTGCAAGGGAATGTGAGCGATTGAATCAGAAGTATACCGACCCCCACTTCGACATCGAGGTGGACTTGAAATGCCGGAGGAGGAATTATTTGGAAGGACTGGATGAGGAGAATCTAGAGATGCTTCCACGGGGCGTCAAGAGGGTAACAGTAAGTAATATCTTGACGCCAGAGAATGGGCCATGAGATGAGACAATTGCTGATGGAGTTATCTTCCGAAGGAAATTTTCGAGAAACCGGAGTTCTACATCAATGGGCCCACTGCCTCGGACGTACGTCAAGGTCGCGATGGCGACTGTTGGTTCATGGCCGCGCTGTGTACCATGGGCAACAAACAAGGATTAATCGAGAAAATCTGTGTCGCTCGCAATGAGAATGTTGGAGTGTATGGGTTCTTGTTTTACAGAGGTGAGCTATTGTCCGGATTGAAGGGCATTAGAACGCTAATTCCTTGCTAGACGGTGAATGGCAGCAATGCATCGTGGATGACAAACTTTATCTTCGTGCCGCCGATTACGATGAGTCTGTGGAGGAACGATCAATCTGGGATGATATCAATCGGATCGATACAGAGGAAGAGTATCGTAGAGTGTGGCAGACTGGGTCGCGGGCTCTTTATTTCGCTCAATGCGCAGATGAAAATGAGACCTGGCTGCCGTTGCTGGAAAAGGCTTATGCTAAGGCTCACGGCGATTACTCCTCCATCGAAGGCGGGTTTGTTGGGTACGACACTCGCCAGGTACCATATTTGCTCGAGCGCTAACAATGCCTAGGGAAGCGCTTGAGGACCTCACCGGTGGTGTCACTTCTGACGTGCTTACCAGCAATATTCTTGACAAGGACCGGTTTTGGAAAGAGGAACTCATGCACGTCAACCAGGAATTCCTCTTCGGCTGCGGCACGGGAATATTTGCCAACTGGCTGGAGCCGGAATATACTGGGCCTCCGAGAGATAGGAAAGGTATCTGTGAGAACCACTCATACTCGATTATGGAGGCGAGAGAAGTTGATGGGCAGCGTTTGCTTCGGCTAAGGTATGTATGACGCACTTCTCAATCATAGAGAGATAGCTTACACGATCTAGAAACCCATGGGGTAAGAAGGAATGGACTGGAGCGTGGAGCGATGGCTCCGAGCAATGGACACCAGAATGGATGGAGAAACTGGGACACAGGTTTGGCAATGACGGCGTAAGTCACCCACATTTCCTCATTTGAAGCTATACTCACAATCACAAGTTCTTCTGGATTTCCTACGATGACCTCCTCAAGAAATACCAACACTTCGACCGAACCCGTCTTTTCAACGACGACTGGACCGTAACCCAGCAATGGACAAGCCTGAACGTCCCATGGTCGGCAACTTACCACAGCACAAAGTTCGTACTAGATGTAAAGACCGCCGGTCCTGCCGTGATCGTTCTCTCCCAGGTGCGCACAACCCATAACTCCAACCCTTTTAACCAACTAACCATACCCCCAAGCTCGACGAACGATACTACAAAGGTCTGTCTGGCGAATACGACTTCGACCTCAAATTCCGACTCCAGAAAGAGGGCGAAGACGACTACTTCGTCCGCAGCCACGGCAACGAGCTAATGTGGCGATCCGTTAACGTCGAAGTCGACCTAGAAGCAGGACGCTACCACGTCCTCATGAAAGTCACAGCATACCGAAACAAAGAGAAGCTCCCTGTCGAAGAAGTCGTTCGTCGCCTTGCTCCCACCCAGCGTAGCAAACTACTCCAAATTGGCCTTTCCTACGACCTAGCGCACGCAAAGGGTATCGTCCACGAAACTGAAAAGGAGAAACGCGCACGTCAAGAGCGTGAAGAACGGCGAAAAGCAGCCGAACACAAAAAACGGAGAGAGGAGACTAAGGAGAGATTGCAGAAAGAGTGGGTCCGTGCGAGGAAGCTCGAAGCCAGACGCGAGAGGCTCGATGCAAGATTCGCTGCTAAATCGGGCAGAAAACAACAACTTGTCAGGGAAGATAACCCATCTGAGGAAGTTGTTCCCGACGGGCCCGTGCAACTACCAGTCAACGAACTGAAGCTCACTAGAAAAGCCTCTATACCTTCTATCTCACTTGAGGACAGTCATGTCCCGGACAACTGCCTTCGAAACGGAAGCAAAACCACTCTATCCGTCCGGGTTAAGAACTCCTCTCTATACAATGCTGCAAACGCTGAATTTCTGGAGGGATTCGAATTTGACTCTGAACTCGATATGTCTTCAGACGAAGAGCCAGTGGAAGAAATTCGCACACCAGTCAAATCCGTTAGCAGCGCCGGCGAAGGCGATGCTAATAGCGATCCATGGAATGCCGTATGTGTGGTTGGCTTGCGGGCCTACTCAAAAGATCCTCAGCTGTCTCTGGAGGTTCTGCGTCCCGTGCCGGAGGATGATGTTGAGGCGTCGCTTGACATGGATGATCCGTCGGCGAGTGCAGCTACTGAATGAACGTGAAGTAGTATAGGCAATAACCGAATGCGTGGGCCCATTTCTGTCTGTAATTACTCTTGTTCCAAGTCGTCTCAAAAAGCTACATTCGTAGGATGATATGATCAAGCCCTAAGCGTCAACAATCAACATCACCGGTTGACTATTTTAAACACACATCCATCTCTCTTTCGTCCATAACATCGCTCGGTGACTTTTCAGACCCAAGAAAATATGCATAACACAGTACTATAATCTCATAGGTATGGATCTTCCGGGTGGCTTAGAGATGTATGTTAGAGCAATGTTCATAGTTGTAGCCAGGCACCACAAGATCTTTAATATCTCTGCTACCTACGCGGCCACTCGCCAGTCACTCAAGATGACCCTGCTCAAGTGTCTGAATATATTCTATCTAGATACATAAAACCGAACCCTTCTCTACCCCGTTTTGCGGCACCTTGAGAAGGTATGATGGTGATAGATCCCATAGCGTAGTCATACACAGCCGCATCAAGGAGACACTCGTTTATCAATAGCGAGTGTTACGACTTAACTGTTCTTTCGATAGACCCCCCGTTGTGGAGAAGACATTGTGCAGCTGATTTAAACTGCAATCCTTGGTTTACTTGAATGACATGTCGGCTTCTCATGTGTTTTATGTGTTATGAGTGGGTATTTCGTAGTAGTATCTTGAATCAGAAACACTGAAAGTAGAACTGGGAGTGAATTACTATGTGACTTCAAGTATATATAGAGAGAACGAGTAATCTAAACTCCGTTCTTCTCTCCAGATTCGACTACTTTGCAATCTTTTTTAGCAGTTTCAGCGCAAAAAAAGACGACAAGATCTCGAAACGAGAGCTGGCTCTCTATAGTACAGACGAATCATCATGCAGAACGCTCAGCACGCTCAGCGGACCGCCCAGGCCCTTCCGTACCTCCTGACATACGACCAGTCTCCTGCCATTCAGGCGCATCTAACACAAATTGGTATAGGTCAGGTGGCTTACGAGGAGTTAGTTGACCACGCATGGTTGAACATCCTCGCTCATTGCTTCGGGACCCACAATTTTGCTTTTGAAAGGGAAGCGCTTGTCGACCCCGGCAATTCGAACAGAAGGGCTAACGTATCTGTAAGCCATTTCAGGAACAACGTCCTAGATAAGGTCATCGTGGTTGAAGCCAAGCGGCCGACCATGACGGAGCCGACCACTCTCAAATGGAATTCGGTCCGTCAAGAGCTTCAGGACAACATGGTGACCATTAGGAGCAATGCAACAACCGTGCAGACCATGTACGGAATCGCTGCAGTTGGTACACGAGTTCGGTTTTTCTATTTGCCTATAAATGGTATACCCTGCTTACCGACCGTAGGGATTGGGCTCCCGGTGCTGCGGTGTTGGATTTGAGTGCCGATGCTCATCGGATTCAGAGTATCCTTCGTTTGAAAAAGAACACGATTGAGGCTCGAGATAACGATTACTGAGGTAGTTGTTCCTGGTTTACGACGGCAAATGGGGCTGGCACTTGGGACATACTTCTTTTTCCTTACCAAGACTACGGGCTTGGTGTCGTCGCTTGTCACGTCTGTGTCAGTTTCCCCCCTGTTCGGCTGGACCGGACTGGGGCACCCTCTTTCCGGCTTGTCCGGGAGCAGAGAGCTCTGGTATTGGGTCGATGTTATACAGAGAGGTCACCTTTATGTTGAAGATTCCTTCTTTGGTATGCTTCAGTGGTGGATACCACCGTGTAAAGGGGACCACAGATATGTAAGTGGGATGAGAAACATACTCTCTATGCCTGCGATAATGAAATAGCACAAGAGACATCCGCTTCTGGAGAACTATAGCATTGGAAGGTTCTCTATAAGCCCGTACCATATGAAAACCAATTCAAGTAAGTCCCATACCATGCCTACTTGGACGGGAAATAGAGCAAGTACTGCCAATAGAGACTTAGCTGATTCAGAATGCGAAGCCTCCCACCAGCAAGCTTGTGATCGCAAATTCTGTGCAGGGAGGAAATGGGCTATGGATACTTAAGAGAAAGTTAGCAGAGTATGTACCAGAGTTACAAAATGGCCATATCAATCATCTGTACTAGGTTTTCAGTTTCTTTTATCTGCCACGAAGGAATAATAACAACATACATAAAGGGAAAGGCTTCATTATATCCGACCTTGGTGGTTTATATCAACTGCAATTTATCACTAGCAGGGGCTTCGATTGGAAAGAGCGTGGAAAACAATGATTAACTTAATCTACGCGCCTGTGAACCGATATGAGTGGTCTCTACTGTGACAGAGAGGGCTACAACAAACCCAAGCATTCGTGTATACATTGCTAATTAGCAATGGTTTGGGGTAATGCGAAGCAATGTATTTGGTCTTATTGGAGGGATAGCTCGAATGTCCTAACTGACAATAACGACATACTCCAACTACTTCACATTACGAACCCGCTGCTTCAGAAGTTAAGAAATGTCTGCGACGCAGACGAGGAGCCAGGCGAAGTGGTTTTCGGGTGGCGCAACCAGTCCTCCGTTTAATGCCCTCCATTAGATACATTTTCAGTGGCCCAGATGAGGGTCCAAAACCCAAATAACCGGGCCCAAAGGTCAGATCTACCAAGGGATCGATGTGAGTGACCGGAATATCGCGCCGCTTGCCCTGACTCAATTATGATCTATACGGAGGATTGCACATCCGAACTGACCTAGGGCCTTAAGAGTATTTCCTCTACAGAGCCACCCAACAACAGAAAGAGACATTGTACTTCCTAAGATTACAGCACATCAAATCATGTCGTCCCGTCCACGTTGGCATCCCCCACGAGGCTTGCAGCCTAACATGCCAATGAAGCCTGATTATTATCTCAACGGCACACAATGCATACTTTGTGGAGACTTTTTATATGACAAGATGGGCGTGTGGCATGCCTCCTATCGAGCCCGTAAGTAAATGACGGGATTGGGATTTCATGGGGATACATCATACTGACTACCGGTCGACGAACAACTACAGTCTATCAGGCTGCTGGCTCTATCAAGTTGAGTGGCATCGGCTACAGAAAAAATTCCGACCCTCTCAAGGTCCCCATAGACCCCGACGAGCGCTGGGACACCACCAGGAGCGATTTCTGCACGGTGTCTGACCTGCCGTGTTGGCCACGAAATATATATTTCTTCCATGAGATATGTTGGCAGAGGTTGGCACAGCATTTCGCAGGGGACAATGTTGATCATAGTGCCCTTTATGATGTACTGAAAAGACTTCCATTTCCGGCTGGATATGGTTTGCCTGCCTAACTCCCTTGCACAACATTTCATTGACCTGGGGGGGGGGAGCACATTGACCAATTTCCATTCTTCAGGCTGATACATGACCAACTCATAGGTGCTTCGTCGTATATTCGTTACATGGATGGTATCGAGCCGTATCAGGCACCTCTCCTGATACACCTTCTACAATCCAAGCGAGAACAGCCTGAATGCGCAGCTGAAATACAGAACAAGCTCAAGAGAAGTTGCAATGCAACTGACTGCTTTAGGCGGCTTCCTGTCGAGCTAATCGAGTTACTTGGAGATTATCTATCAACGCGGGATTACCTTAATAGCCGTCTTGCCTCACGATCCATGGGCATGCTCTTTCATAAACAGAAATTCTGGAAAACGCGATTCGATATCAATGGAGAACGTGGATTTTTAAGCTATCTCGTGAAGGAGCATCAGAATAGAGATGTTGACTGGCGACTGCTATATCACAGTACATGTACACTCCGATGCAGTCGGCTTTTCGACATAACGATTCGACTTTGGGAGACCAACCGATGGATAAGAGAGGCTGTGATACACAAGTCCAGAGGCCCATTCGCATCATTCATGGACTTTGGCGGACGTGCATTGCAGTACTATCATAATACCATGTGGCCGGAGACCAAATATCGACAAACCGTCAAGATCCCACCCGATTTGATAAAGATCGGGGTTTCGGCATTTGCAGATTTTGGCGACCAGGTGGTTACCATCCGAGGCCTGGAATTGATTCGAGCCAGCGGGCCGAGCATCCTTCTAGGGGCAAAAATTCCGGGATCGTTGGTGATTGTGGAAGAAGTAGATGACCACGGTGGTGGCCGACCCGATTGGGCTGATGATCATGACACGAATTACCGCTTCCCGGGAGCTGAGGTGATATTAGACGCGCAAGAACTACGGGGTTTCATGATCACGAACACCGTGAATGGGCAGCTAACCCATTTTCAATTGATCCGAAAAAACGGTTTCTCGGCGCCTATTGGTGTCGATTTCCTCAATGGCGCTAATTACGTATTCCAAATGGATGAGATTGTCAACTTGGTCGTGGAGTTTGACGTGAGTGGGATACATTCGCCCCTTTTCCGTCACACCCTGCAATAAATGAAAGCTAGCGTGTTACAAACATTCAGATGGCTAACGGTGCTTGACAGGTGAATTTGAATCTCAGACAATTGGGCATTGAGGGTTTTGGGAGTAATCCGAAGGCAAAAGAATGGGAGAGGGATGGCTATTACAAGTCCATGTATAATGATGCTGATGATGATGATGATGATGACGACGACCGGCAAGAGGAGGGCGACAACAACGACTACACCGACGACGATGAGGAGGATGATGAATGAGTTCCAAAGCCTCATAGCCAACCTCGTCTGTTCCCAATGATCAACAATAGGGAACCACTATGAGCAATAGAATAGGATCCAGCAACACAAGTCAAATGCTAACCATACTCAATAGTTTGTAACACAATGCATTGTTCGATTTTCTATTGTGCTATTAGAAGAATAGTCATTGATATCCTTGTGTTAGTCGTAAATCCAAGAGTATAAAAGATCTTCGTAGCCCGTAGTCGGACATAGTTTTTTTTTCTTTTTTGTTGTAACAATCACATCCTTCCCCTCCCTCCAAGAAACTAAGTCCTTATTAACAACGATGGAGCGTCCTACCCAAGTATGTCTTATCTATTCAAGAATATGAACTACATTATAAGATATGATACTAATCTTGGCGGCGTGCATAGGCCATCTTCCACAACGCTGTTTTCCTCGCTGGGAGTTTCTCTGGGGCTGGTCCCCGCAAACGTGCCCGGGTTGAGAAGCCGAAGAAGCCTGCCAAAGAGCAGCGAGACATCACGAAGATGTCCGCCGCGGAGAAGGTAATATCAACTCGCCTTAAAAAGATATAGTCAATATAAGCATATTCTAATATATGGATCTAAAGAAGAAGGAGATTGCCCGCCTCCGAGCCGCCATCAAGAAGGAGGAGGAGGAGCTGAAGAGAAAGAGGGACAAAGTCGCGGCCTTGGAGGCCTCAATTCTGGCTGATGAGGCCGACGACAAACTGATGATTGAAGAATGAGGCTTCCTTTTTGTTTCCTTTTCCTTGTTTTCCTTTGTTTTTTTCCAACGTTAAAAAACAATCAATGGCATATTTTATCGCCCTATATATCCAGCGTAGCAAGGAGTATACTGCGTCTTCAATCCGACGTCTTTTCCCGTAGCCAGAGGCCCGCCAATTCCCTTGCATCCTGCGGGTACCGAGTGAGAGTCACTCTCCTCTCGCTGTATCCCTTTTCACGCCCCCAAAAGCAAGATCTTCGCATGACATCGACCATGTCATGGGCCTGCTGTAACAATACGCTGGACATTCTATTTCTCTTTGTAGAGGACCCTTTGTGCTGCCTCCCTTCCGAGTTGCCGATTTGGTCATCAGATTCAGGCACAGCTTGAGTAAATATTCCCACCCAAGGGAGTTCCATTTCCAGCCGCTTAACCCCATGGCTAGGACTCTGCCACGCCGGACCACTATTCCCGTAATCAAGACCGAATGGAGGCCATCGGGAGAGCGCCTTTCGCCGACGAGGAGGACTTCGTTTCGTCTCACTCCTAGTAGACTCTGCCTCACTCATGCTATCCTCTTCTCCGATATACACGTCCCAGAAATAATCGATGAGATCATCCTCCGTGGATACACTATCTCTCGCCTTCAAAACAGGGATCGGGTACTCCGGACCGGTAAGATACTCCGGAAAGAAACGAGGAACATTTTTCCCTGGCGAGCGAAGAAATAGCAATGGCGACGCAAATGCGTCGAAATATCTTTCGGGAGTGGAGAAGTATTCCTTTCTTGCTTTGAGAAGAGGGACAAGGTCGTGGGGCGCAGCTCCTCCTCCGCGAGGGCCTTTTCTGCTACTGCTGCTGCTTGGGACATTTCCATTAGCATCAGAGGATGGTGGTTGTTGAATGCAATGCTCATCAAGTGATGTCCAGTCGCAAATTGGGTCAATGGCCGCTACTGCGTGGATGGATCGTACTTCTGTAAGGGAGAGCATGAGTGCGAGCGAGCCGCCGATGTGCGTGCCTAGGATCCCTAGGCGCTGGGGTTGAAGGGTCTGCAGGACCCAGTCAAACCCGGCGAGCGTGTCATGGATGGGTGTAGGGAATTTGTATGGGT